AGTGGAGGTCATGTGAGTCATCCTGGTCCCGTTCTTTCTGGTTCAAACCGGATACCCTAAGGTCCCTTTCCTGCACGTGGGAAGCCTCGCTATCACTGCGGGCCTTGAAGCACTCGCTGTTGGGCCTCCTGAAGCGCCAGGTCTGGAGTGTAGGTGAAATGCCCCCAAACACAGACTTGCTTAGCTGCTGGGCGGAGGGTCCATTTACGTGGAAACTCTGAGGCCGGCCCGCCAGAGATTTCTCCACTCTCCGGTGGTTAAACTTGGTCTGCTGTGTGGATTTTGTGCTGGGAGTCATTCCCTGGGCCCTTTAAAGTCAGAGGAAACTACTCGGGTGGAGCAAACAATTTGTGTGCCTCACTGTTTTGGCCCATGGAGCACGAATTGCCCCTCGGCTTGGGGTCTGCAAGCCCCACTTACAGACATCCCACCGCCCCATAGACACATACTTGAAACGGAGAGAGCAGTTGGGACAAGACTTGGGGGACAGTTAGAGGTTCTACGGATGAGCGAGCAGAAAGACAGCACTCAGTCATTTAATAAGAGGCACTTCAGACAGGGAGAGTGGTTCAGAGGAGAGGAGTTGGAGGATCGACCGCAGGGACAGAAAGGCAGTTTGGGGAGAATGGTTTGAGGGAGAAACGGCATTGAGAGGCATCTGTGGCGTGACAGGAAAGACAGTAACTGGGGCAGCAGAGGGGACAGAGGCATGTGGGGGGTGCAGGAGACGGATGAGAACAATCAGAAAGATCAGGGAGAAAGCAACTGAAGGTGAAATAAGTTTCAAGAGGTTCGCTGAACAGGTTTAGGGACAGGAATAGAGAAAAGAAGAGAAAGGAGGTGGTGGGGGAGGGGAAACACAGGAAAGGACAAAAGTGCAGAGACACAGGGAAGAGACAGAAACAGATCCATAGGCAGAAATGCAGAGCAGAAGGGGAACCCAGATCTCGATGAGTGGTGAGCCGATGGGATGTGGATGATTAAGTTGTGAGATACCCGCTTGTGGCTTTATATATTTAACTGAAAATTTGCTCAATTACAGATTTGAGTGAGATTTTAAATCACCGATTAAAGGTTTGATCGTTGTTAGCGTCCAGCTGCAACCCTTACCCACTCAGAGGGGGAGACTTGTCCATCAGCCATTCCCATCCCATTTCCGGGGATGCAAAAGGGAGACAAGAAATGATGGAGTCTGTCCACCTAAACGTTTTCAAAAAATTATTCGAAGCATTGGACCCTTTTTCCTCTCCTGTGAATTTACTTTTTTTCTATTTCTCACATTAAATTTGTTTATAAAACATACTGAGAGAAATTCTAGCCTGTTAAATATCTGTTTTCTGTAAGTAATCATGAACTTCTGAAATAAGCATTGGAAATGACCAACTCATCATTATTTTCTAAGTAGAAGGTATTCTCACCATTTTGAAACTTTAAACCTAAAAGTCATGTTTAAAAAAAAACAAAACAGAGCATTTCTTTTCAAATTAATTGTGTCTAGTTTAAACCCTGAGCCCTGCATCCTTTTTGCTGTTTATCACATGTGGAAACATCCATTGGTACGTAGTAATACCGGGCTATTGCCCTGTGCGCTTGGTAAGGATGTCAGTGCTCTTAACAGTCAGAGTCTGAGCCTAGTTTCATGACTTCATCTAATGTTCAGCAGCTCTTTCTTTCCTTTATGTGATTTGTTTAATTAGTGACTGTGAGCCACAAAGGAGTGGTTCCCTTCAAGTCCTTCTTGTTTGTTCTCTGAAACTGTTGAAAGATGGATTGGATTGACCTTAATCTTGGTTACCACAGAGCCCATCTCTTCATGGTGAAGTGATTTGACAGGCCTATTTCAATAGTTAACTTTTTTCAAAATTTTTAGCATGGAGATCTCTATTCTCTGTAATTACCTGAGAAAAGAGGAAGACAATCTGCCTAGGGTGCTGCACTTCTAGAAGTTCCTGCTTCAGTGCCTCACAGTACTCAGAGGTCTGAGGTGTGCTGGGTCTAATACCTGTTGCCAAGTGCTACTGAAATCAGCTCTGGGGGAGCAATGTGGGCATCAGGAAGGAACTAGATAAAGGTGCCATACCATGGTCCTCACTGCTGACCTGCAGAACCATAACATAGAATGGGGCCCTGCATGGTCATGAAATCTAAGTGGTTTCCTGGTATTTCTCATTAGATCACTTGCGGAGATTTAAGAAATGACATCAGCTGTGTGCTCCCCCACAGAGTTGGTCAACTGCTCTAGGTGGGGTATGATTGTTTACTGAGGTCTTGTACGTGATTTGTGAGTGTGAGGAGCAAGCTTTGTTTAGGTAAGGTAACAGGGTGCTGTAACTGGCATTGGGGTTGAGGAGAGCAGCGCATGTTCTCATTGCTGCAGGAGTTTGTGGACGTCTGTGGAAGGAGGGAGCACCTGAAAAGAGAAAGAAAAAACTGCCAATGTGGTCTCCATGTAGGAGCTTATTGTTCCTGAGTCTCCTGTGACAACGGACAGGAGAGAGTGGCCTTTTCAGCATTTCCAGGTCACTCTGCCTATGAGTGTGGTAGAAGAGGATTAAGGGGCTGTGGGGACACCTTTGAAGGCACATCCTCAACAGGCACACTTGACCCATCAGCATATTGTCCCTGAGAAAACAACCTGAGCTCCAGCAGGAGGACATGGCCACTTCTCAGTAAACGATGTGTCCTAGGTCAGAGGCTCTGTTTTTCCTCCTCTAATTTAGATTTAGAACTTGCAACCCTTGTTTCTCTACATCTGATGTTCTTGCCTAGCGAGGTTGTTTTCCTCTAATTTTTTCGTTTTATGATTGTCAGGGTCAGAAGTTTATGTACTTTTATCCTTTGTTCCATAGCCTTCTCTTCATTATTTTTAGCTCTCTGAGGTCAGGAATTTCCACCTTTACTGAATGACCTTCAACTACTGAACATATCCCCTCCGTGACAGATCAACCTGGAAGGCACCCATGTCCAACATCCCTGTTGGGATGGACTTAGAGGCTCAAGAATTGGTGAAAAGGGACATGTAGGTTTTAGGTTCATGTAGCTGCAGCATCTGCTGTGTAGATCAGGGGTGGGAAAACACGATTTACTGGTCAGGATAGCTCAGAAAGATCTGACAAGGAAGAGTAGATAGAAAAGAATTGTTTGCTGGTTTGGTACAAAAGTCTTGGTACTTAAATGCACTAATTAGGGTACAAGACATGAGAGAGTATATTTGGTTTTACATCTGCAGAAATTGACTTTTATTTATGATAATTTTCACACAATTTTCTTCTGTATTTTTGCCAGTAATATCACAGCAGTGATGACATGTCCCTCCATGTGCCTCAGTCACTGCATAGCCATTGTTCCAGTCTACCCTGATAGTCACCTGGCTGAGGTGCTGTTTTCAGTGTAGAGTTAATAGACTTCCTTTATCATTAACAAGGGTCTAGCAGGGAATTATTGAGAAATGTGAAAAAACTATCACATTTTATCTGGAAATTTTGTTGTCATTTTAGTTTGCTTTGGAAAATGCAGGCCCTACGTTTATTTCCTCGAGATCAGTGGCTTCCAACATGGAGAATTTAATCAATGAGGCCTTGTTCTTGTAAATTTTCATTATATTCCACACTCATGTCACAGACATACTCTACATGATCACTTTTTGCATTTTCAAGAAAGTTTACAAGAATCATATTCATATATGTTCAATTCAGTTAAATTTCTAAGTTATAGTTCTCCCCTAATGATAACAGAAATATTTAAAAAGAAATAAAAGACTAAGAAACAATATCTCTGATTTCCTTTTTACCATAATGTGAGCTTCACTTATTTTGTTTATAAAACACAAATGCTATCATTCACACATAAACTTATGAGATTTACTGAATTGCACAATAATCTTAATTTCATTGACATGAACATTCTGTTTCTTTTTTAATTTTTTATATTTCTTTTTATTTATTTTTTTAGAGAGGGAAAAGGAAGGAGAGAGAGAAACATCGATGTGTGGTTGCCTCTTGTGTGCCCCCTACTGGGGACCTCGCCTGCAACCCAGGCATTTGCCCTGACTGGGAATCAAACCAGTGACCCTTTGTTTCATAGGCCAGCACTCAGTCCACTGAGCCACACCAGCCAGGGCAACATTCTGTTTTTTATCACTTTTCAGTTGTACCTAGTTTCGATGTGTGTCTGTGTGCATAAAATGTTGATATATTTGAGATACTTTGTCTTGTTATTATCTTCAGATGTTTCTGTTTTTCTTTGCTGCAGTTACAGAAACTGCAATGAATGTCCGTAAGGTCTCTGTATGCATTTCTGTATGTGTGGGGGGGTTTTGTAGTTGTAAATCAAATTTAGAATAAAACCAAGGTCTACTCTTTATGTTTCAGAAAATGCTCTTATAGCATAGGAAGAGTAATCTTGTTTTAAGATTCTATATACAAAATTTTAAAATTTGTGACTGCTGTGTTTCTTATTTCTTGAAAACTGTAAATTTTATAAAACTTCTTCAGCTCAAAGATAGGTATGAATTCTTTTCTGTTTTCTGTGTTATTTGGAAATATGGCACGTGGACCAAAGACATTGGCATCACTAGTAAAAAGTGAGCTTGTTAAGGATGTGGAAACACAGGCCCCACCCCAGAACTCCTAACTCAGAATCTCCGCTTTTATAAAACTGCAGTTCCTATTGTCTGAGTGAAGTGCAAATAAGTACTTAAACTTTCAACTTACCAGGACTTTTGTAGCTGAGAAATTCAACTGATTCCGAATGATACAAATACAACACTCACATCCATATGCCTGTGTCGATGCCTTAGTTTTAAAGTTTATTTTTCTGAAAAGTTAAGTCTGCTTTAGATTTGTGGTAAGTTTGGATTTCTCAATGTTTGAAAATACATTAGACTATATATCTGGGTCAAAATGATATTAGTAAGTAACTCAGGACACTCTTTTAGCTCAAAACCACTTCTCCTAACACTGTTTACCTATTGGATGACATTATGAACTCTGCTGTTTCAGAGATCGTTGACCTTTGGGGATGTATCAGTAGGTTTCTCTCGGGAGGAGTGGGAGTGCCTGGACCCAGCTCAGCGGAAATTGTACGTGGATGTGATGTTGCAGAACTACAGGAACCTGGTCTCCCTGGGTGAGGATGAGCACCTTTCAGAGTTCCTGCTGCACCCGCAGGGTTTTGTTGTTGTTTTTTTTTTTTGTTTTTTTTTTGTCAGTTTAACAGCTTTTGGGGCTTTGTGTGGTAGCTATTCAGATTCTTGCTCACCATGGAGAAATTGGAGGTTTTCCGGTATAGAAAGAAAAGGTTTCCTGAGCAGTTTAAATTGGAAACTTAGTGTCTGAAAACTTTACATGTTGTCTAGAATAATTAAGGTGCTACTGAAAACAGTATTTTGGAAAATCACTTTCTAGAATGTTTTATATTACCAGTTTAATTTCCTGAGAACAGAGTAGAATGGGAAATTTCCTTCAAAACTAATGATTCTTTTTCATATAAACAGGTCTTTTTGTCTCTAAGACAGTCCTGGTCACTATTTTGGAGCAAATGAAGGAACACTGGATTGTGAACAGAGAAAAGACATTATCTGCCCACCCAGGTAGGTGGGAATGGGGAAGCCGGTGACATAGGTAAGAGGCCCAGAGGTCATAGAGGAAGCCAGACCTTATGTGGTTTGGGAGCCTATGCTTCAGTAAAAAGGATTTTGAGAAGTCCAGGTTTATTTCTGTTGCTGTTATAGAGGGACAACTTGTCTCCATCATGTCCGGTGACCTCTGTCATCCTATTAGCACTTGGGGCCAAAGTCTTCCCCTTAGCTCGTGAGAGCTGCAGTGGTCTAGCTCCTCTTCCATTGCTTTGGGGACCTGGGAAAACCTGTGCACATTGCTGAGAAATGTATGTTAAGCCCCCCCCTTTTTTTTAACTTTTTTTCCTCATGAAAAGTGATCATGAAGGAAATGGTTGAGGTCCTGGAATTTGGCGCAGAAACCCCAAGAACCCTGGGGACAGGTGTCATTTTTTCTGGCTTATAATTTCTTATCCTATAGAGGCTTCAAAGAAGACCTTACAATGTTTATACTCAGTGATTTCATCACAGCAGAAGGCACCTCCCAAAATGAGACAATCTAATTTTCTGTTTTGCTTCAAAATGTCCTTTTGCTTAGTATGAAATAATACAAGAAATTTATAGTATATGTGTTAATTCCTTCATGTTTAAGTAGTTTACTGTATTTGTTTACCTCAGAGTTCCTCAACAAGTTTCTGCCATAGCTGACTTGAAAACACTGCCCACCATGTAGGAAAGTCTCTGTTATTACCTAATTTCTTCATCACTATCCTTTGGTAAGCAATGAGTTACAGAATTATTAGGCACTTCATATTTTTTTAAATTGTTCAGTGGTGCTTTGGTGCTCACTGATTCTGCCCCTTAAGCGTGTCACCTACAGAAGTGGTAGGGTTGTAGTCCAACATGATCTTAAGCTATCCACTGGGTACACTGGCTCTGAACCTTCCCTGGAGGTGCAAGGTCAGCCACCACCGATGAATTGCCCGGGATCACCTGGCACCCATTACAGAGTGATATGCAGATAGCTTCTAATTAAGCTATGTTTGGAAGGGTCCAGGAGAGGGCAAGATGTGATCCAAGGCCGACTATGGCTAGTGCTGACATGAGGCCACTGAATGAGAGGAACGGGGCACACAGGGGCCAGATGCAATTTGTTTCTGAGATTTAGGAGCGTCTGAACCATGAGGCAAGAGAGGCCATTTGTATAGAAAAGCCACTGGACCTGGGCTTTCAAGTTGAGTGCTGCTTGAAACACCTCAGGGAATCACTAGGACAGAGCTGCAGTGTTAGCCAAGTAGACAGAGAGACTCGGATAGGGCACCTGCCTGCTAGCTTTGTAATGGGGAGGACTGAGCAAGGGAATAATGGCCCCTGGGGGGATTTCTGGGTGGGAGAAAGCTGCCCCTCCCGCCTTTGCCCTGAAGCCAGACAATTCAGTTCCTTCCTCATAGACCCTTATGCCTTTCAAGCTGCTGTCCCAGGGCTGGAGATCACAGCCAGTGTGTCCCAGTAAGTCTTTGTGCAGCACCTTTAAGAGAAAGACTGGGACTCCAGATTCTCTCAGTCTCACTCAGCCAGCTATACTCCCCACTGGTTTTCCATCATGTTTTCTTTTCAATGATAGATGCCCCAGATTTAGTTGAGTTACTTTTTGGTTTTTATTTATATATTAGGAAAGTGAGTGATAGTTTTCCACTCAGTACACTGAAGATATTGTGGGACTTAATGAAAATATGAATCAACCATATGTCATTTGCCATTCAAATGACATGCACGTTTGTCTAGTTTTTACCCTCTTTTGTTTGTGACTTAACCACATTATGCTGGGTATAACACACTCCTGTGAATAATGCATATGCACATTTTTGGCCCAGACTTTCAGGAAAGTATCTTTCATTTTAATTTTTAAATTCAATTATTTATTTATATTTAGGTACTTGTTTTTTTGTATTATAAAAGAGTTTTAGCATTTCTTTTTGAACATATGGTACAAGCAATTTTATGTAACAAATAATTACAAATCACAAGACTCTAAAACATAAGTTATTTCAAGTACTACCCATGTATAATGTGCATCTTTATTTTTCCCTCAGAAATTTGGGCAAAAGAGCATGCATGATACGTGGCAAATTACACTATCTTGTTCCCTTCTGTGCTTCATTAATGGTCAATGTTTGTTTTGTCCTGTGTGCTTACTGTGATAGTGTTAATATTATATTGGTTCATGGGTGAGTTTATATTCTTTTTCTATGAGATAAAAACTTTCTAAATTGAATATAATTTTTGAAAAGTTTATAACTATCTCAGATGTTTTTTGTTTTAAACTTTGATTAAAATCATGTGAACAAAAATGTAGCATCTTTTTTTAAGTCTTTTATTGATTATGCTATTACAGTTGTCCCATATTTTCTCCCCTTTATCCCATTCTACCATGTACCCCCCTTCCGTCCTGCATTTCCCCCCTTAGTTCATGTCCATGAGTTGTACATATAAGTTCTTTGGCTTCTCCATTTCCTACACTATTCTTAACCTCCCCATCTGTTTTGTACCTACCAATTATGTTCCTTATTCTCTGTACCTTTTCCCCCATCCTCCCCCTTCACCACCACCCCCTGCCCCTGCTGATAATCTTCCATGTGATCTCCATTCCTGAGATTCTGTTCCTGTTGTTTGCTTAGTTTGTTTTTGGTTCAGTTGTTGATAGTTGTAACTTTGTTGTCATTTTACTGTTCATAGTTTTGATTTTCTTCTTTTTCTTAGATAAGTCCCTTTCACATTTCATATACTAAGGGCTTGGTGATGCTGAACTCCTTTAAGTTTATCTGGGAAGCACTTTATCCACCCTTCCATTCTAAATGATAGCTTTGCTGGATAGAGTAATCTTTGATGTAGGTCCTTGCTTTTCATCACTTTGAATACTCCTTTCCAACACCTTCTTGCCTGCAAGGGTTTTTTTTGAGAAATCAGCTGAGAGTCTTATGGGAACCCCTTTGTAGGTAACTCTCTCCTTTTCTCTTGCTCCTTTTTAAGATTCTCTCCTTATATTAATTTTGGGTAATTTAATTATTATGTGTCTTGGTGTGTTCCTCTTTGGGTTCTCCTTGTTTGGGACTCTCTGAGCTTCCTGGACTTACATGTCTATTTCCTTCATCAGATTGGGGAAGTTTTCCTTAATTATTTTTTCAAATCAGTTTTCAGTTTTTTGCTCCTCTTCTCCTTCTGGCACCCCTGTGATTTGTATGGTGGGACGTTTAAAGTTGTCCCAGGGGTTCCTAAGCCTCTCCTCATTTTTTTGAATTATTGTTTCTTGACTCTGTCCCAGTTGAATGTTTCTTTCTTTTGTTCCAGATCGTTGATTTGAGTCCCAGTTTGCTTCTCTTCAGTGTTCGTTTCCTGTATATTTTTATTTCACTTTATATAGCCTTCACTTCTCCCCTTTTTTTTGCATCCATACTCAATCACTTCTGTGAGCATCCTGATTACCAGTGTTTTGAACTCTGCATCTGATAGGTTAGCTATCTCTTTGTTGCTTAGTTCTTTTTCTGGAGTTTTGATCTGTTCTTTCATTTGGGCCATATTTCTTTGAGTCGGCACAACTGTTACATTTTAAAGAGTGGAGCCTTAGGTATTGGCCAGTGCGGAGCAACCCACTTCACTGCATGGTGGTGCTGTGTGTGGGTCAGAGAGGTAAGAATGCCATTTGGTCGGCTCTCCCCCTGTTCAGTCACTTCCCCCACTACCCACAAATGAAGCGATTATGCACTTCTGGTGCTGATTTCCAGATGGGTGGGCTTGTGTGCATTCTAGGACCCAATGGGCCCCTCCAACATACTCCCCTATGAGACTGGCAGTTTCTCCCGCCGTCACAACTACCTCAGGTTTTTACAGCCAGAAGCTTTGAGGCTTTATTTTCCCAGGCTGCAGCCCTAGGTTGGGCAGTTGGTCTCGCTCCTCAGTTGTTCCTCCTGGTGTTTCTACACTTGAATGTGGGACCGCCTGTCCACCTGCCACCGTCTCACCCACCCCAGCCATCCGCCACTGACATACCACAAGTCCTCTTAGCCCTGGCTTACTGTCTCCACCCCTCCTGCCAGTCTGGATGAATGTTTTAACTCCTTGGTTGTCGGGCTTCCATGCAGTTAGGTTTTCTGGGTGTTCTGGTTGTTTTTTTGTTTTTAAATTGGTTGTTATCCATCCTTTGGTTGTGTGAGGAAGCAAAGCTATCTACCTACACCTCCATCTTGGCTGGAAACCAAAAAAAATCTAGCATCTTAACTATCTGTAACTGTATAGTCCAGTTGTGTTAAGTATACTGTCTTTGTTGTGTATCTTATCTCTTGAAAGTTCCATCTGGCAGAAATGTCTCAGTGTACATTAAACAGCCATTTCCTCATTTGGCTTAAAACCAAGGCTCAGGTAATTACCTTTGTTTTCTTTCCTGTGAGGTGGACTCCATTAGGTTACTCACATAAATGGATCCTATAGTATCTATCTCTTTGTGACTCATGTCCTTTGCTTAAATAATGTCCTCAGTGTTTGTCATTCTGTTAGGCAGTGATAAGATGTTTTTCAATTTTCTGACAGAATACAACTCCTTTGTATGTATATACTACACTCTTTTTTTTACTTAATTGTTTATCCATAGACATTGGGGTTGCTTCCACCTATTACAGGCTTTTGTGAATTATGCTCCAGTGAACACAGGTGTGTAAATGTCTCTTACAGATCCTCCTTTGAATTCTTCTGGACAAATACCCAGAAGTAGAAGGGTGCAATTCGAGAACAGTTCTGCCCTGGCTGGTGTGGCACAGTGGCTTGAGCGCCAGCCTGCAAAGCAAAAGGTTGCCACTTCAATTCCCAGTCAGGGCACATGCCTGAATTGCAGACCATTAGAGGGCACCTGAGAGCAACCACACATTGATGTTTCTCTTCCCTCTCTTTCTCCCACCCTTCCCCTCTCTGTAAAAATAAATAAATATTTTTTAAAACATTTTTTAAAAGATTTTATTTATTTAGTAATTATTAAATAATAGATAAATTTAGTCATAAATAAAATTTTTTAAATGTATTTATTAATTAAGAAATAAGTAAATAACTGGGGACCTGGCCTGCAACCCAGGCATGTGCCGTGACTGGGAATCGAACTGGCCACCTTTGCTTCGCAGGCTGGCACTCAGTCCACTGAGCCACACCAACCTAGGCAAAATCTTTAAAGAAAAAAAGGAAAGAAACTTTCTTCAAATCTTGTGTATATTCCCACGAATACTCTCTTCAATCTCATGAAAAGGAAAAAATACTAAACTACGCTAAGAAAAATAATATTAAAAAAAGAAAATTCTATTTAATTTTCTGACATCCCATTTTTTACTCCTGCTGTTTGCAGCAATTTATGTTTCATTGAACCACATATAGGGTCCATTTTCTCCACATTTTTGGAAACAGTATTGTTTGTTTTGTGGGTTTTGTTTTTTTTTATACCGGTCATCTTAATTGCAAATTGGTTTTTGTATATTGTGCATACATGTTTTAATGAAGGATGCAAAAATTTATTTCTTGAATGTGCCTAAAGAACTATAGGAAAGATGCATAGACTCAAGTAAACATACATCATAGAAGGTCTTTGAATGACTTTTTCAAAGAGCAGTTTTAGGCTTGCAGCAAAATTGTGTAGAAGTTAATAAGAACTCACACATGCATAGTCCCCACCTTTTCTCAGTGTCTCCTACCTGAGTAGTTCATTGGTAATATTGATGAACTTATATTGGCCCATCATTATCAACCAAAGTTTATGTTCTTTGGTTAAATACTAAGGAGCTCAATTATTGGATCATATAATAAGTGTATGTTTAGTTTTGTTAGAACCTCCAAACCCTGTTGCCTAGAGACTATACAATTTTACATTTTCACCAACAATGAATGAGAGCTCCAGTTGCTCCACGTCCGCAGCAGCATTTGCTGTTGTCAACACTGTTTGTTCAGTTTCCATAGTTTTAATATGCATTTCCTTACTGACATAAGATGTGGAGGTTCTTTTCAGATACTGATTTTTTTAATCTATATATCTTTTTTAGTGTGTTTTCTTTTAAGGTGTTTGGCCCTTTTTAGTCAGGTTTCTTCTCTTGTCACTGTTGAGTTTAAAAACATCTTCGTTACACACAGTGATCCTATGTATGTCATCTTTAGCAAATACTGTTCTCAGCCTATGGATTTTTTTCTCATGATGAGGATCATACTTTTGTTTACTTTTTTTTGCTTAATGTTTCAGTTAAAACATGGGAGTTGAAATATTAATGGTACAGAATGAAAAACAAAGATGGTTAAGAATTTAATTTGAAAAAATGTGGTGTGTTTAAAATCAAGATTGCGTCATATTCAATAATTTGGAGATTATGTTTGCAGTTTTTTTCCCGAATATAGAATATACACACATAGTCACATCACATGGGGACATGTTGAAATACCATTTTTTGATATTATATGTCAACTAAAATAAAATCTTTTAATTTCTTCCAAATTGTACAGTACTATTATAGCAGTGGTCATTTTTTTCAGTTCTGTATCTTCACTGTTGTAAATAATGCTGCAGTTGGTATGGGTATGCATATACTGCTTTGAATTTGTATTCTTATATTCTTGTATTCTTCGGATAACTCCCCAGAAACGGAATTGCTGTGTTATATGGTACTTGTTTGTAAATTTCTGAGGAACCTCCATCTTGTTTTCTGTAGTGGCTTCATGAGCATTTCTCCTTATCATTGCTAATGCTCATTTGTTGATTTTTTTAGTAATTTCCATCCTGTTACATGTGCTATTGTATTTCATTTGGGTCCAATTTGCATTTCTCTGATGATGAATGATGTTGAACATCTTTTCATGTGTTTATTGGCAATCTTTATGTCCTGTTTAAAGAAATAGCTACTCAGGAACTCTACCATTTTTTAATTGTATCATTTGATTTTTTTCTATGTTGTGTAAGTTCTTCATATATTTTGGATATTTAGCATCATTGGTGTATATCTTTCCCTATTTGTTAGATTGGGTTTTTTGTTTTGTTGATGGTTTCCTTTCTGTACAAAAACTTATTTTGTTATAGTCTCATTTGTTTACTCATCATGAATTTTGTTTAAGTTCTTAGTTTATTAATCCTCTTGTGAAAAATATTCATAGTTACCACTGATAAGTCACTGAAGAATCTCTCTTTTTTTTTTTTTTGGCTAGCACTAATACTAGCCTTTGCAGTCCCTCTGACTTCCTTCCTTGTGTTCTTGCTTTCCTATCTCTGTTTTCTTGACGTCTTCTTCTTCTTACATAGGCCATTTCTTACAAGTCTATGTTTGGGATATATTTTGTGTGTGCAGTCTACGGAATCATAAATGAAAACTAAGCCAGTTGTCTTGACACCACCAAATTGGGTTCTGCATCCAAACACAAAGATGACAGCTGGTCTGGTCCTACACATTTTGGCTAGTTCTTTTAAAAAGTTTCTTCCATGCTGTTGCCTTCCCAGGGTGGGAAAAAAGTCGTTAATGATCATTTGTTTCTGATGAGGTAGTTTATTCATAATTAAATTGCTGATCAGGACAGTTACTGTGTCATTTATCATGGTGACCAATCTTCAAGCAACCAAGGAAGGAAACTGAATTTTCCATTAACTGATTTTTTCTTTAATACAAAGGGGTTTTTTAAAAGATTTTATTTATTTATTTATTTTTAGAGAGGGGAAGGATGGGAGAAAGGGAGGGAAATATCAATATGTGTAACCTCTTGTGCACCTCCTACTGGGAACCTGGCCCAGAACCCAGGCATGTGCCCTAGGCTGGGAACTGAACCTGTGACCCTTTGGGTCACAGGCTGGCACTCAAGCCACTGAGCCACACTAGTGAGGGCTAATACCAACTTTTTGATGTAATGTTTTTTCACTGTGCCTTTCTTGGTCTTGTTTTGAACATTTAACTTCCTTTAGGAGTACTCAGAAATAGGATGTAGTCAAAACTTGCTGGTAAGTTCAATGTACACTCAAAGCTGTGAAACTTTTATTATATCTTTCAGCTGTGTCATCTGAAGACAACCAGGCCTTGTTGAGAAAGCTAGGGATGGAAGATTTATTACTCTCTAAAGTAATACTGGTAAGATATGTAAGGTGTGCCTTTGATAATGTAATGAAAGCCTGATAAGAAAGGGCATGATGAGAAAAAAGGATGTTAAAGTGCACATAACTAAATTGGGACAGTTATTCATTTAAAAAATCCTTGTTACCTATACAGGTCCAAAATAGTATACATTAGGAATGTCTCCCAATTTAGTCAGTGACAATGCAAATAAATGTGTCTAAATGTGAAGATGAGAAACAATTTTCTAAGTGTATGTATTCTTGCAGAGGCAGTCAGGAAATCTAGGAACTCACATAAGTTGTGGTGTGAATAGTCATTTGAATTGATTAAATTGTAGAGTGTGATTAAACTTTCAGTCAGTACTTTCTAGAATTTAGTGATATATAATGCACTATAAAATTGAAATGTGATCAGATTTACAATCTTTTTATTAAAAAATAATTATAGTTCATTGGGAAATAAGGGTTTCTTTAATACTGAAATATGTATATTTTCTATACTTGGTAATGATTTTTTTTTTTATTACTTGATTCATTTTTAGAGGGGAAGGGAGGGAGAAAGAGAGAAAGAGAAACATTGTTGTCAGAAACCTCAGTTGGTTGCCATTTGCATACACCCTTATGATAGAGGGAACCTACAAGCAGGCTAGCTCCCTAATTAGGAATATAGAACTGGCAGCTCTTCACTTTGCGAAACAATGCTCAAATAACTAGTCACACCCTCCATGGCTGGGAGTGTTTTTTAATACAACCAACATTGGTTAGTAGATATCACAGAATAGTTATTTGGGAATAAGTGTACATGTTTAATGAAATTATAGCTGTTACTAATGGCCTTTCTATCTTCATTAATTACCAGAGTACATATAACGAAGACAGAAGTTATCAATGTAATGAGCAGTGGAAAAATTATAACCATGAGTTTAGTCTTTACAAACATCAGAATATTCATCTTCCAGAGAACCATCATCAAAGCAGAGAAGTCTTTGACAAAATGTCAAATCACAATACACATCAGGTTATTCCTCTTGTGGAGAAGACAGACAAACAAAGTAGATGTGTCCAGTCTTTCAAACAATCTTTAAATCACATTAAACAAGGGAATATCGATACCATGGAGATCACTTACAGATATTTACCACATAACAGCATCTTTAGTCATATATTCAATGGAAATAGACTTAAGAAATTCCATACTAGAGAAAAGCAAAAATGTAAAGATTGTGGTAAAACATTCAGTTGGCCTTCAGGTCTCATTCTACATCAAAAACTTCATACTGGAAAGAAGTTCTACAAATGTAATGCATGTGGCAAAGCCTTTAAAAGGCATTCATGTCATGCTCCAAATGAGAGAAGAATTCTGAATGGCGAGAAACCTTACAAATGCAGAGAATGTGCAAAAGCCCTTTGCCAGTTTTCTACCCATACTGGACACCAGAGAATTCACACCGGAGAGAAGCCTTATAAATGTAGAGAATGTGATAAAGCCTTTAGCAAGTTGTCACACCTTACACGACATCAGAAAATTCATACGGGAGAAAAACCTTATAAATGTGAAGAATGTGGTAAAGCCTTTAGGCAGTCTTCATACCTTCCTATACATCAGAAAGTTCATACTGGAGAGAAGCCTTATAAATGTGAAGAATGTGGTAAAGCCTTTACAGAGTCATCGACCCTTACTAAACATCAGAGAATTCATTCTGTAGTGAAGCCTTTTAAATGCAGAGAATGTGGTAAAGTCTTCAACCAGTGTTCATATCTTACTATTCATAAGATGATTCATACTGGAGAGAGGCCTTATAAATGTAGAGAATGTGGTAAAGCCTTTAGAACATCTTCAACTCTTACTAAACATAAGAAAATTCATACTGGAGAGAAGCCTTACCAATGTAGAGAATGTGGTAAAGCCTTTAGCCTGTACTCGTACCTTATACGACATCAGAAAATTCATACTGGAGAGAGGCCTCATAAATGTATAGAATGTGGTAAAGCCTTCAGAACATCCTCAACCCTTGCTAAACATAAGAAAATTCATGCTGGAGAGAAGGCTTATCAATGTAGAGAATGTGGTAAAGCCTTTAGCCAGTTCTCAAACCTTATACAACATCAGAAAATTCATACTGGCGAGAGGCCTTATCAATGTATAGAATGTGGTAAAGCCTTTAGAATGTCCTCAACTCTTAATAAACATAAGAAAATTCATACTGGAGAGAAGCCTTATAAATGTACAGAATGTGATAAAGCTTTTAGCATGTTGTCAAACCTTACACAGCATCAGAAAATTCATACTGATGAGAAGGCTTATCAATGTAGAGAATGTGGTAAAGCCTTTATCCTGTACTCGTACCTTATACAACATCAGAAAATTCATACTGGAGAAAAACCTTATAAATGTACGGAATGTGGTAAAGCCTTTAGAACGTCTTCAACCTTTAGTAAACATCAGAAAACTCATACTGGAGAGAAGCCTCATAAATGTACAGAATGTGATAAAGCCTTTAGCACGGCGGCATACCTTAAACAGCATCTGAAAGCTCATACTGGTGAGAAGCCTTATAAATGTAGAGAATGTGGTAAAGCCTTTAGCCACTCTTCATCCCTTACTAAACATCAGAAGATTCATACTGGAGAGAAAGCTTATCAATGTAGAAAATGTGGTAAAGCCTTTAGCCATTCCTCAAACCTTAAACAACATCAGAAAGTTCATACTGGAGAGAAGCCTTATAAATGTAGAGAATGTGGTAAAGCCCTTAGCCGTTCCTCAACCTTTATTGAACATCAGAACCTTCACACTGGAGAGAAGCCTTATCAATGTAGAGAATGTGGTAAAGTCTTTAGTCATTCTTCATCCCTTATTAAACATCAGAAAATTCATACAAATGAAGCTATAAATGTAGAGGATGTGGCAAAGTCTTTAGGCATTCCAGTCACTTTCTCAACATCAGAACCTTCATACTGGAGAGAAGCCTTATCAATGTAGAGAATGTGGTAAAGACTTTTGCCTGTTTTCAGACCTTATACAACATCAGAAAATTTATACCTTTCAGAAGCCTTATAGATGTAAAGGATCTGGCAATGCCTTAAGTTGGTCCACCACTGCTAGTGAACATAAAGAGGTCATACTGTAAAAAAGTGTTATTCATGTAGAGAATGTGTAAGTCATTTATGCAGCTCTCAAATCTTACTCAACCTCAAAAAATTCATATTGGTGTAAGGATTTATTTGCGTAGAAAATGTGGCAAGGCCTTAAACTGGTGTTTAAACCTTGTTAGATATCCAAAAGTATATTGGACAAAAATTTTCCATATGTAACAATTGTAAAGTTTTTAACAGCACCGAAAACTCACTCAGCATCACAGAATTTATGAGATTGGAGAGAAGCCTTAGGAATAGGTAAAATGCAGGAAATACATTAAAATACCAAAAAAAATTCATATTAAAAAGAAATCTACAGATGTAAGGAATGTGATAAAGCCTTTTCTTTGCTGTGAATCCTTACTAGATTTTGTATAATTCATTCTTAAGTAAAGTTTTACAAATGTGGAAAAGCCATTAACTGCCACTCATTAATTACTAAATGTCAGAATTTATAAAGGAGATAGATGTTACAAATGTAGATAATATGACAAAGCCTTTATTTGGTTCTCAGAACTTACTCATCAGATCATTGTTGAGAGAAATCTTGGAGTTGTACAAAGTGTGGGAAAGCATTTTTATTGGCATTTGTACTTTTCTAAACATCAGATAAAGCATTGACAGAAGATTTACAAATGTGGAAAATGTGACAAAACTTTTCATTACTGTTGCTATTTTATATGACATAAGACAGATCACAGTGGAGAGAAGTCTTACAACTGTAGACCATGAGGCAGAACTTTAAAATGGCATTTGTATCTTACTCTACATGAGAGATGAATTCATACCAGGGAGAAATCTTGCAAGTATGAAGAACATAACAAATCCTCTAAGAGCACTAAGCACTTACTGTCATAGAATTTATACTGGATAGGAAGCCATGTAAATGTAGATAAGGTGTCAAAGGTTATTTCCAGTCCTCAACTTCTAGTGACCATCAATGTTATACTGGGGGAAAGCCGTATAATTATGAACTATGTGCAATACCTTTAATTACTCTTCAGAACTTACTTGAAATCAGCTTATTCATACTGGAGTGAAACCTTACAAATGTAGTGTAGGAGACACAAGTTTTAATTATCACAGATCTCTTACTGAACATGAAAGAATATATACTTGAAGGAAAACCATACAAATACAGAGAATGTGGATAAGGTTTTAACCATGATTCAAAACATCCCACATTGGAGAATTCATGCTAAAGAAACACAAAAATATAAAGAATTGGAAAATAATGTTCACCATTGCTCGAGCCTCATTCAACATTAGAGAATTTACTTTGAAGAGAAGCCTTACAGATATATCAAACTTAGTGAAATTCTTAATCCTCATTCATACCTGCTCAACATCCTATTCATACTGGAGAAAAGCCTAAAAGATATAAAAAATGTGGAAAAGCTCTAACGAATACTCAAACTCTATTCAACATCAGAATTCATTCTAAAGAGAAAATATGAATGAAAAGAATGTTTAAAACTTTTTTTCCACATTAATGGCATATTTGATATGAGAATTTATACTAAATGTAAATCTTAAAGGTCTGTGAACTCTTGTAAATTATACTTTCACTCATCTACTTTTCCATAGAAGACTGAGGACATAATAATCCACAATATATAAAGAAAATCTTAATGGAGATGCTGCTGTGTGTGGTTGATTTATAACTTTGTTGCATGAGAGCATATTTTTTGCATAAGGAAGAAACATTAAGCCCTGGCCGGGTAGCTCAGTTTGTTAAAGCATCTTCCTGATACACAAGATCACAAGTGTGATCCCCGTTCAGGGCACATAGAAGAGGAAACAATGAATGCACAAATAAGTAACAACAAATTGATGTATGTTTCTTCCCCCCACCCCGTCTCTGTAAAATCAATAAATATTTTTTAAAAAGATAAACATTAAGAATTTTTTTTATTTTGTAATAACTTTTCTTTGTATATCGTTCATATACTATAAAATTTCTCTAGCCCTGGCTGGTGTGCTCAGTGGATCAAGTGCTGGCCTGTGAACCAAACGGTTGCTGGTTTGATTCCTAGTCAGGGCACATGCCTGGGTTGTGGGCAAGGATCCCAGTAGGGGGTGTGCCAGAAACAACCATACGTTGATGTTTCTCTCCCTCTCATTCTCCTTTTCATCCCCTCTCTTTAAAAATAAATAACATTTTTTATCTATAAATCTATATATTTAAAGTATAAATACGTTTTATATATTTTTGTGTATATATTATATATGTATTAAATATATTTATTAAATCTATTACATATATCTATAAATACATTTTATAAATCTATAAATGTGTACATATACACACATACTGTTGTGGAAAACATGTTACAGAACCCAGAAATAATTTAGGAAGAACGTATTTTACCACAACACTTCCAGGAAGCTGACCAGTATTTTTTCAGTGCAAAAGTTTTGTCCTTATTTTTTGTAATGATATTTTCTCTTTTTCCTTATCCATCTGAGGCTCCCAAAGTCAAGTGTGCATAGGGGAGCATTTTATCCCCAATAACTATACCACTTTTGAAATCTGGATTTTAATTCCATTTTATATTACTACCCTCATTTCTATTTTATATTCTCCGTACATTAAAATAACCATTTTTATTTTTTAAAATTTCACTCATTCTGAGAAAGGAATGGGGAGAGAGGAAAATTAATGCATTGTCTTACACATTCATTCTTTCATTGTATGGTTTTTAGAGAGAAGAAGGGAGACAGAACATGAAACATTGCACAGAGACAAAGAGAAACTGATGTGTTGTTCCACTTACTTCTGCATTCATTGGTTGATTCTTGAGTGTGCCCTGACCAGGAATAAAACTGCTACCTTGGTGTATCAAGACAATGCTCTAACCCACTGAGATAGTCAACTATTGCTTTAGAAAAACCATTTATTTTTAATTAATTTAGAAATACTTTGCCTTTCATTTTCTAACTGACCTGAATGAACTATGTGTTCTCGTTTACGACATTTTTAAATTTTAAATGGTTTATCCTGAAATATTTGTAAATAACCTCAGGGAACTAGGCCTCTTTCTCCATGGTGCTTGCACATTAGGAGGCCTCAGACCTGGATGAGCTGTCTTCAACCTAACCACTTCAGAGGCAGCTAGTTCAAGATGATGTATAGAAAATCAAAGAAGACAATGAATATAAAATGATATTGTTTGCTTTTTTGAAACTGGTCATCCTAATTGTGGGGGGGGCAGGGGGTGTGGGGGTGTGGGTGTGGTGGGGGGCGGGTGTGTGTGTGTGGGGGGGGGTGTGATGGAGGGTACAAACATTTATTTCTCGGATGTGAATAAGGAACCATAGGAAAGATGCTTAGATCTGGGTCCAGGTACTAAAGAGAAGTCTATGAATGGCTTTTTTAAAGAGCAGTTTTAGGTTCACAGCAAAATTGTATACAAGTTAAGTAGAATTCCCACATTCTCCCTGTTCCTACCTATATAACCTCCCCCTTCTCAACATCTTTTGCCAGAGTGGTACATTTGTGATATACATGAACCTATTGTACATCATTATCACTCAGAGTTTTTTAGTGTACCTTAGGGTTCACTGCAGGGTTGTACATTCTGTGAGTTCAAAAATATTTATGAGGACATGTATCTATCATATACAGGCTAGATTCTTGGATCTAAATTTTCTCTGTGTTCTGCCTGTTCATCTCCATGTTCCTTAAAGTCTTGGAACCATTGATGTTTTAACCATATCCCTAATTTTGTATGGGGGGGGGGGTTTAATGTCATAGTTATCATACAGTATGTGGGCTTTTTAGGTTGGTTTTTTTTTAATTTGTTGATATTTTAGGAAGAGACAAGAAGGAAGAGAGATCTGTTCTTTCACTTATCTATGCATTAGTTGTTTCCCATATGTGCCTGGACCTGAGATCTAACCCATATCCTTGGCATATCAGTATGCCACTCTAATCAACTAAGTTACGTGGCCAGGCAGATTGAATTATTTTATTTAATTCTTTGTATCTAGGTTTCTGTCATGGTCTATTCATGCCTTGATATATTTTTTAGAGTGATAGTTAATATTTTATTGCACAAGCCCCAGTTTACTTATCCATTCACTTTTCCACAGAAATCTTTGTTGTTCCAATATTTGTAAATTGTGAATAAAGTTGGTATAAATAGGCCCTTACAGGCTTTTAGATAGATAAAAGTTTTTAGCTCTGGTTAAATGCTAAGGAGTACAATTACTGTATCATGTGGTAAATACATATTTAGTTTTGTAAAAACCTCTAAACGCTCTTCCCCAAGGGCTGTGCCATTATGCATTTTCACCAGCGATGAAGGAGAGTTTTTAGTTGCTCCATTATCCACAACAGCATTTGCAGGTGTCAGTGTCATTGATTCTGACTCTTCATAGGTGTTTAGTGTTGCTTGAATGTGTTTATTGTTTAGTTACAGGGTTGTTTTTTTTTTTAATTTATTTTTAGAGAAAGGGGAAGGGAGGGAGAAAGAGGGAGAGAAACATCAATGTGGGAGAAAAGCATCAATGGGTTTGCCTCTCACACACCCCCAGCCAAAGACCCGGCCTGCAACCCAGGAAAGTACCCCAATTGGGAATTGCCAGGAATGGAACCAGGAATCTTTTGAGTCTGCAGAGCTATGTGCAACTCACTGAGCAACACCAGTCAGGGCTAATTCTAACTTTTAATGTTTCCTTAGTGACATAGGATGTGGAGGATCTTCCCCAAAGTAATTTTCAATGTGTATACCTTTATCAATGTGCTCTCTATTAAGGTATTTGGCCTTTTTAGTCAGGTTTGTTATTTTGTACCTGTTGAGTTTGAAGCCTTATTTGTATAATTTGCATAATAGTCTTGTACCTGTCGTCTTTTACAAATATTTTTTCTCGGCCTTGGCTTCTGTTTTTTTGTTTTTTGTTTTTGTTGATAAAGGAAAGGAGTCTTTATTGAAAAGCTTCACAGTTTTGGAATAACAGATTTCCACATGCATTAGACACTTAAGCCTATCAATTAAGGCTAAATTCTAACACCTATCATTCCACTGTTAGTTTTGATTATCTTATTTTTACAGGTTTGGTTTACAGATTAAAACAGTGTAAGGTACAAAAGTTACACAAATTTGAGAGAATGGCAGACCTCTGCCTCCGAGGTCATCCCCTTTAGAACACCCAAAAAAGAATATCCCTGCTATGTCTGCCAGGCTAGCCTGACCCTACACTGTACCCAGCGTTTCTTCCCATCCAGAATACCACCTGTTGGGAAATGCAGGCAGCTGTAGCACAGTCATCCAGACATCCTTAAAGAAGAGAACCCAGGGACGCTTCTTTTATTTCAGATCTTCTCACTTATAATTAATTCTTTGTGCTCTGGAGACATTTGGCTTCTCAACCAATTCCATCCTAGGCTGTTTACCATTGCCTCGGCAAACCTGTACTATGGGGCCTTCTTACTTCTCCCCAGTAATCTAATCAGGGCTCTCTGTATCAGTTCCCCCATTTAACATTTCTGGACCTTTGTATTCTTGCAAAGGCAAATGGATGATGGTCTCATTCTTCTATAGCTACTTCCTGCTGGCCATGGGTGTAGTCCTTCCTATCCCCTGGTCCTGAGATCCCTAACAGAAAGGGGCCTGGAGTGGAGGGAGGCCTTTACACGAGGGAGAAAGATCTTGCGAAGTCCAGGTAAGTTAGCTGTCCTGAGGAAGCAGCATATGCAGTGTCCACAGGATGGCATTGCTGTGAAAGTTGGTGTCCTTGTCATACTCATTGAGTCTCAGGAGGCTGCAATGCAGATGAGCTTCTCAAGTGAGGCCTGTATAGTGTAAACAACCACCCAGGTAATGAGGTAATAGGCATACACCATCCCTTTGGAAACAGGTAGCTGCAGCACAATCATCCAGGCATCCCTGAGGAAGAGAGCCTTAGAGTCAGAGAGAGCCTGCCTGCCAGTGCCCATCTGAGCGCCTGAGAGCGCTGCTTGGATTGTTTATTTTGTGATGAGGATGACTTCTTTCCTTTAATGTTTGATTTAAAACATGGAAGTTTAAATTTTAATACTATGGATTGGAAAATAAAGTTGGTTAAGAATTTACCTTGACAGAAATCTGGAGTATAAAATTAAGTTTGGTTTATATTCGATAACATGGAAATTATATTTGCAGCTTTTTGTCATTCCTGATATAAACATAATGAGTCACATCTTGAGGGAGACGAGATGACATGTATTTTATGAGAGTTTATGTCAGCAAAGATGAAATCAATTCCAGGTTTACAGCACAACTATAAAAAATTATTTTTCTTTTCGGCATCTTTACTATTACAAATAATGCTGCATTGTATATCAGGGTGCATACATCTTTGAATTTGTGTTCTCATGTTCTTTGGATAAATCCCCAGAAATGGAATTGCTATGTTATATGGTACCTGTTTGTATATTTCATTATTGTATTTTTCTCACTACCATTTATTCTCCTTATACCCTCTTCCACCTCCATTTGTCTCCTCCCTCCTGCAATCACCATTGTTTGTAAAGTTTTGAGGAAACTATGTTTTTTTCTATACTGGCTGCACCAATTTATAATCTCACCAACACTGTATGAGGGTTCTTCTTTCCCCACATCATTGCCAATACTTGTTTGTTGACTGACTTATTATTGCTGTACTGACAGGTGTGTTGTGATGTTTCATGTGGTCTCAGTATGCATTTGATGATGAATGATGTTGAACATCTTTTCATACCAAAATTGGCCATCTTTATGTCTTACTTGGATTAATGTCTTCAGGTTCCCTGTCCATTTTTCAGTTAGATTGTTTGGGTGGTTACAGTGTTAAGTTGTGTAAGTTTCTTTTATATTTTGGATAATTA